TGTACTTAATTGGGCAGAATTGTGGAGGTGGGAATTCTGGAGCATGGGAGAAAGTCGGTGGTTTTGTTTTGGCCAGGTTGATATTGAGATGGCTGTTAGACATCCAAAGAGAGTAAGTACATAGTTGAGCTCAGCAGAGAGGCTGCGATGGAGACTAATTCAATTATCTGGAAGAAAGTGTAGATAGAGAGGATGGCCAAGGACATAAAAAGTCAGCATTTGTGATTCTTAGAGAAGTCAACAGAGGAGGCTAAAATATTGAAGCCAATGAGACAGCAAGAAAATAAATCAAGGTTGTTGTAATTACTTTAAAAAGCCTTAAAGATAAAAGTATTTCAAAAGGAGAGCACAGTCAACCTTGTCAAATGCTGTTAAGAGGCAAAGAAAAATGAACTATTGGAATATATGAGGAGAGGTGCAAGGAGGGGTAAATTAAAGGAATAGATGATAACTTATCTGGATTCAGGAGGGGGAAGATAATGTTTGAACCTCATGGTAACCATTGGGGAAATGTTATTATACTAGAGTGCATCAATAACTTTTCTGTGTGGGTGATTAGAATCACAAATCTAGAGGTAAAACTCAGGTTTTAGAAATAAGAGCAAGGGCTGTGTAACCAAACAGCCCAGATGACATTCTATGAATGAGAAAGTGGGATTTATTGGGCTCACAGAATGTGCTGTGTCTCTGTCCCAAGGGAGCCTAAAATACCTCATGTAGTTTTTGACCTACAGAGCTAATTTGCCCAGTTTGCTGAGCTTCTGACCCCTGGGGCTTGAGTCCTCTCCATGATGTGGAGAATTCCTCTAAATAATGTGCTATCAAAGAGGATGGCATTCCCATCTAGAGGAACATATTCATTGAGCAAGAGGATATGAGTAGCCAACACATAAATCAATAATAACAATACAAGGTCAAATGCAGAAAATGGCATCACAAAAGGGTAGATAATAGGCTGTGGGAGATTTGATAAGGTCAAACCTGATCAGGTACTAGAAGGAAGCAGAAATCTGGACCTGTAGTGACAATTGTTCTCTTATACAAAGCAACTGGTAGAGCACTCGGTGGCTTGAGATTTCATTAGACTTGAATGCCTTGTAGTTTCTCAGTAGCTTCAAGTTTAAGTTTGAGAGAGTAGGTTTGAGTGGATTACAGAAAGCCTGAATGTCATGTTAAGGGCCCATGGCTATATTTGCTTTGCTAAGAATGAGATCTCAGGAAAGTTTGTGAACAAGAAGATGAAGTGAGATCAGATGGTAAAAGCATAAATAGGAAACTCGTCAACTATTCAGCTTAGAGACTATTACAATATGCCTGATGAAATGTGCTCATAGCTTTCAAAGAGATGACACAATTTCAAACTAACAATGTGCTATAAGGAAAAATATGCATTAGAAATGTGAGAATAGCTTTTTGTGTTTTTTTTCTTTTGTTTGTTTTGTTTTGTTTTGAACTGCTAATCTCCTAGAGAAAGAAAAACATGAAATGTCTTCCATACACCCTATCCCAAACAAAATAATCTGATTCAGAAGAAGAAAAAAAGAAATCCCTTTCCCTCTTTTTTAAATAAAAAAATTCATCTTTTCTCTCCAGCCTATCTTTTTATTCTGGCTATGTTTCTTTTAATTCTGTAGGCTTGACGCAATGGAATGAATAGAAATTATACTTAAAATCTCTGGTTATCCCTTAATGCCATTTATATGACAACCTAAAGGAGGATATTCATGTCTGACCACAGTTTCCAGAGCCTGAAGGAGACTTCAGTGATGTTATATCACAATCAACCCTGCAAGTCTGGGCTTGACTTTAGCTGCCTGAAAACTTAAAATTGTGTCTGCGGGAATGGGCAGGGTTAAGCCAGCTTGGGTTTAATTTCTGTAATAGGAAGAATATGTTTCCTTGCACAGAATCTTACAGGAGAAAATTCTTTCTAGAAATATTCCAAAAACTTACCAAATTGGTCCATCCTTTCTTGCATTGGGCCACTTATTCTGAAGTTTTACACTCTACCTAATACAGTTTTCTCTTTTCTTCATACCTCTAGGATCTCTTCTCTACTATAGCTATCTTGTATTCCTATGTTGCCACAAAAATTTAGCAAAATGCCTCGTTTGAGACCCTAGAAGCCTTTGGGATTTAACATCTTCTTTATTTTGTTTTGTTACAAAAGTAATAGATGTTTATCACAGAAACTTATTTTTATTTTTTAAATTTCTTTATTGATTATGGCATCACATATTTGTCCTCATCCCCCCCATTCCCATCCCAAATCCCACCTCACACATTGTTCCTCTTCCCCCCCCACCCCCCCCATTGTTAGGCTTATATGCATGCATACAAGTCCTTTGGTTAAATCTCTCCTCCTTACCCCCACCCTCCCCAACCTTTCCTCTGAGGCTTGACAGTCAGATCAATGCTTCCCTGTCCGGGCCTGTTTTTGTTCATCAGTTTATGTTGTTCTTTATTTTCCCTAGATGAGTGAGATCATGTGATACTAGAAATACACTTATAAGAACCGAAAATGAGACAAATAATAATGGTTATGCTGAGAGGCAAATGAATCAGTCTATAGTGAGTTCCTTTCTGAGCCAACAGTTCTTTGAGTCCCAATTTCAATGTCAAACAGTTTCTTATGTATACATGTCAGCAATGTTATTTAAGTTCTGGATGGTGGACAAATGGTGGTAAATGCAGGTCCGACCCTCTCTGGCTTGGTCCTGGGCAACATGCAGTGTTACACAGCTGCTGACTGCTAGAATGGCAAGGTGTTGTCAGCGTCCTCCATGTCTGGACTGCTTCTCTTCTGTCTTCAAGGCTAGAGCAGTCCTGTCAATTCCTCTCTGTTGCAGGAATCCACATGGACTTGGAGTTTTCTGAAAATATACAAACATATTCTCACCAAAAGTTAATAAAGGAATCTTTTCTATAAATTTGACTTGGGATCTTTTTTCATTTTTTGCCTAAACGATTTTCCTTTGGCTTGTTTTGACAACATGTGTGTTTTTCATGGGTGTCTTTTTTTAGAATTACAAATGAAAGTTAATTTTCTAAAGTAAAAATTTTCTAGATGTAATTAACATCTTCTTAAATAAAATAACATGGGGCTGCTAAGTAAGCAGAAGTTTAAAACTGATTTTTTTCCCCCACAGGTCTCTGGAAATTTTATTTTAAAATATAATAACAGAAGACTTCTACATTTTTTCATAAATTTCTGGAGATTTTATTATAAAATATAACCAGAAAGTCTTCAGAAACATTATTCTAGCAGGGCAGAATTTTTCATATGGTATCTCATTTTTTCTTTTTATATTTATCAATAAAATGTAAGCGCTGTGGCAGCTTCAAACACTCCAAGCAGTCAAAACTGGTTTGGCTCAGTGGATAGAGTGTCAGCCTGCGGACTGAAGGGTCCCAGGTTCAATTCCGATTAAGGGCATGTGCCTTGGTTGCGGGCACATCCCTAGTCGGGGGTGTGTGGGAGACGGCTGCTTGATATTTCTCTCTTATCGATGTTTCTGGCTCTCTGTCTTTTTCCCTTCCTTTCTGTAAAAAATAAATAAATAAAAATATATTAAAAAAAAAAAAAAACACTCCAAGCACAGCTGTGCATTTATAGAGGGATGGAACAAGAGGATAACTTATAAATCACTAAATCTGGTAGTATTAGAACTGTGGATAAATTGAAAAAATGGAAAAAAAATCCTTAGAATTTATTCCAAATCAAATACTAAAAATTCAGAAATAAGATTTTTTATAATAGTAGTAATGACAGATTTGGATATTCTAAGTACATTCCTTACCAGGAGTATAGCTAAGACAGCCATCAACCATAAAGTTATTATTATTATAACTTTGATCCAGGATTCCACTTATAAATTTGCAAATCATTAGCATTTTTCATGGGCCAACATTGGATTTTGTGTTCTAACTTTCCTACAACTATGGTCTGCCCTGTTTGCCTTTCTCTCTCTCTGTCCCACAACTGCCAGTTTCTCAAATTGATTACCAAGGGGAAGACCATTTGTCAAGTTAATATGTTTGTGGTTTATCTGATATTTCTTCATAAGTCCTCTTTATCATCTTTCATTTTAGATTGTCAAAATTAAATTGTTTGTTCTTTGTCCTTTACTACCATGTTCCCTAAATTATACGAAGAAAACAATTTTCAGTTTAAAATGAAAGATCACATCAAAAGAGACAAAATAGACTTTTCTCAAAAGCACAGATTGAATAATTAGAACAGAGGAAAACATCTAAGAATCTTAAAACTTAAGTGGGTTGGGGCTTGCAGGAGTGGGCAGAGAAGACAACACATGTTCCAAAAACAAATTATGAGCAATCATGAAAAAGAGCTTTGGAGGAGGCCATTTAGAAAGTGACTACAAAGTCACTTCATTGTAGTTGAACTCTGAACTCTAACCTTATTTTCTTACAAACGAAGATTTTGCAGAACATCTCATTTATCCTCAGTATTAATTCCCTTAGACATAGAAAAATCCTTGAAAAGAATCCTAGCATGGACTAATTTATATAAAATAAAATAAAAATTAATTGATATAACCTTTTCCAAATTGCAAAAATGTTGGTGAAAAGGAAACAAAGTAGAGGCCATGAAGATATTCAGGCCGTGCTTCAAATGATCTGCTCCGTTACTTACTGAGAGTTTGAAGTGGAGGTAATAGCCTGCATACCTTGCTGGGATAGATTGTCGCAGGATTAAATGAGAGAAGGTCTATAACCTGGCTCACCTACAGAGTGTAAGACACATGGTAAAAAAAAAATATATTCTCTTTCCTTTTCTCCCCAACCCATCCCTCATGCCCATATATGAAACATTACTTAAACACTCCCCCTCCCCAAATACTTTTACACACTAAGGACACAACAAGAAGAGTCAGTTTAAGTCAGAAACTGATTTATGAATGCATCACAGGTGCATGCCATTAATATTATTCTAATGTTTTAGGGTATCCATCGATGACCGCAAAAAGGGAGGAAAGATGAGTCTGATGCCCCACCAGTACTCCTCTTGGATCTTCGTCAATGAGAGGACATTCCTTACTGGGTAACTGTATATCTGTCTTACATGTTATTCTAGTTGCCAGTCCTTTGTAGATTATACCCAGCACTATATCATTCTAAGTATGATACGTCATTCACAAGATCAATAATATGAATCGCCAGTTGAGACATTAAATAAATTAAAGAAAGATGTCCTACAGACTGGTTTATAGCCTTTCATAGAACAATTACTCATTTTATAAATGGTGGTCTAGTGGCTAAATTTTTATTTTAGTCAATGGTATGATTCTCAGGAGCCCAACATAGGGTCTCCTGTCATCTCCTCTATCTCTCTTGTGTCCTCAGGAAACACTTCATTTTTACTGTTCTCCATTAGATTATGCAATATATGGCCAACATCCACAGCTATTTTCTTACACATAGCTAATAGCATCTTATGTTGCTTTGGGGAAAATAAAGTAGAGATTTAAAAATTATTATAAAAAATATAAGAACTGAACTTCATTGAGCTAGAGCATGTCTTACAATAAAGAGAAACAAAGCCAAATAAATGAGGGAGAGAAGTGGACATAAGTGATGTGGGAATTGGAAATAGGGAATTATAGGGAACGAATATGATCAAAAATGGAATTAAAGCCATGTTGAAGATAGTAAGAAGTAGGAAGAAGACATTAAGTACAAGATAGTGGATTCATTCCTCAAATACTTACAAACTCCCTGTAGACAGGTACTCTTCTTGATCCTGACCATTCAGCAATGAACCAAACAAAGCCTTTACCCTGATGAGTTTGCCTTCTAAAGAGGAATACAGTAGTCTCCCCTTATGCACAGTTTCATTTTCCACAATTACAGTTACCTGCAATCTGAAATGTTTAAAGAAACTTCTAGAAATAGCAGTTCATACGTTTTAAATTGTTCACCAATCTGAGCAGGATGATAAAATCTCACCATCCCACTCTGTTGTACCTGAAACATGAATTATCCTTTTGCTTAGCATATAGGCCATATAGGCTCCCCGCCCAAAGGCCACTTAGTAGCTGCCTCAGTTATCAGATCCACTGCCAGGGTACCACAGTGCTTGTGTTCAAGTAGCCCTTATTTTACAACGGCCCCAAAATACTGGGTTAGTGATGCTGGTGATTCAGATATGCCGAAGAGAAGCCTTCCGTGCTTTCTTTAAAGTAAAGGTAAACATTCTTCACTTAATTAGGAAAGAAAAATTTTTATGCTGAAGTTGCTAAGATTTATGGTAAGAACAAATCTTCCATTTATGAAATTGCCTATTTTATAAATTAAACTTTATTAAAGATATGTGTGTATAGGAAAAACATAGTATGTTCAGGATTTGGTACTATCCACAGTTTCAGAATTCCACTGGGGGGTCTCAGAATGTATCCCCTGTGGATAAGGGTGGATTACTGTACAGTCAGTATGGTAAGATAAATGATAATGATATATATTATTAGCTGCTGAAAGGTATGAAGAATAAAAATAAAGCAGGAAAGGGAGTACTGAGTTCTGGGAGTGGAGAGCAGGCAGGTGAGATTTCATGTAAGAAGCCAGGGAAGTCGTCAGTGAAGAAGTAACATTAGAATAAAACCTGATGGAGGTGCACAAGCAAGCTGTGTAGGTATCTGGCTGGGAGGATCCAGGCAAGGAGGACAGCAAGTTCACAAACCTAAGGCAGGCACGTGCCTGTAGGGGTGGAGGCAGCCAGTGTAGAGAAGTGAAGTAGGAAGGACAGTAGAAGCTGACATTAGGGACATAGTGGGGCTAGATAAGGAGGATCTCATATCGAGAGATATGATATATGACCCATTTTAAGACTTCATTTTTCCCACCTACACGATGAGAAGCTATTGAAGAATATTGAGTTCATGGGTAACTGAATCAGTCTGGCTTTTAAAAGAAGAATGAAGAGACAAGAGTAGAAGTGGAGAAACTATCAGGAGGTGATGATATTCCAGGGTAGAGATGATAGTGCCTTTGACCAAGGTGGCAGCAGTGGAGGGGGAAAAAAACAAAGCTCAGATTTTAGTTACATTTTTAAAGAAAAGACAATAGGATTTCCTGGAGGTTTAGATGTGGGGTGTGAGAGAAAGAGAATAAACAAGGATTATTCCAAGGTTTTGGTTGAGAAAATGGAGTTAAACTTCTCTGACTTTATAAAGATTATAAATGAACAAGTTTGTGGTAGATCAGGAGTTCAGCTCTACAGATGTTACATTTGCAAATGAGTAAGATCAACAAGGGAATAAGTATAAACAAAGAAGATTCCAGATCCAAGGTTGAAAAGAGTGAAATGAAGTAAGAAAAATAGAAAACAAGGAGGCAAGGAAGAAGTATATTGGGTGAAAAGTCAGCAGAATGGCTATGGAGACTGAACAGAGAGCAGTATATATTTACTATATTACCCATTACATATGTGCCATTCATAACATACATATATGAATGACACCACTTTGAGATGTCGAGATAATTGAAGCATTGATGGACATACAAGGAAAACAGGGAAACTGAGGAACTGGGAATTTTTTTTTAAATATATTTTATTGATTTTTTACAGAGAGGAAGGGAGAGAGATAGAGAGCTAGAAACGTCGATGAGAGAGAAACATCGACCAGCTGCCTCTTGCACACTCCCTACTGGGGATGTGCCCGCAACCAATATACATGCCCTTGACCGGAATCAAACCTGGGACCCTTCAGTCCACAGACCAACACTCTATCCACTGAGCCAAACCGGCTTCGGCGGAACTGGGAAATTTAACTGAAACATTGACAATGAAGGTCAGAGAACATAACCTCTACAGAAAGGTCCTAGCTACTGGTCAGAGATGTCCCTGGTCACAAGATGAGCATTGTTGAGAGGACCTAAAAGATGACAGGTTGGGAAGAGAAAAGGATAAGAAAAGGTTTGAGTGATCTGCAAGACTAGCAGGGAGCAAGTTAGTTTCAAGGTAGGTAAATGATGGAGAAGGTGGGAGGTTGTGAATAAAAAGTAAGAAGCTCCCAAGAGAATGACAGGAGGCAAAGAACAGGATGAGAGCCCAGGACAGCCCCAAGAAGGTCCCTCTACTACATTTCTTCTTCCCGGAGAAAATTACGGTCAGAGTGGTGTCTCTAAAAACAACAGCCCTAGGCTGCACCAGTGTTTCCTCCTGCCTGCATGCTTTCTGTGCAGTGTAATCTTACCCAACCAAGAAAACAAAGTTACCACACCGGGAGGAAGGTTCAGAGAAGGAAAAGTACAGACTATAAGAGAAGAATGTATAAACCCATGTACGCATTTTTCCTGTTATTCAGCTCTGCATGACTCAGTTCAGCTCATGAAATCATGTCTCCCATCTGCCCCAGCAGTATTGCTAAACTGTCCTGGGGGCCCACCTCTCAGATTACAACCGCTGAGGTTGCAACCATTGTCCCTTAGTTGACTTCAGCTATGACACAGCAGCTTTGCCGCCTGGATTACCAAAGAAGCAAGGTTCTTTCTCACTCAAACCTTTAGACTTGCCCTTGTGATCAGATTAAAGCGCATCAGGTATCAGGTAACTTCAGTACACTGTCTCTTGTTTGCATACTCTGGCATCAACCTCCCTTCCCTGACAAAACCTGGAGACAAATGTCATAGAGAAGCTCCTGTGCCCTCCCTGACTCCTGTCTGCTCTTAGGGGTATTCCTATTTTGGCTAATCCCCACCATTTATATGCATACATTTCTCTTTATCCTCTGGGTTCTTTATTCTCCTGGTCCTTTCTCTAAAGAATAAAGTTTTCTTCCCCCTTTCTAGAGCTCCTAGTTCAGCTCAAATGAATTATGTCTATCTCACTGTAGCCATGACCATCCAATGGTAACTTCTATCCTGGATCACCACATCCCCTACTTTTGTTCAACTCTCTACACAGTAGTCACAAAATGAAAATTACAAGATTTAGCCAACTTAGACACCCATTCCATACACTGATAGGTACCAAGTCAACTTCTGCTTCTTTTGTAATATTTTATTAGTTTTCCAGTCTCAGCTTTTCACTTTCCCCATGAAATCCTCCCTGAACTGCAGTAATATTTTAATTAGCTTGTGATAATTTTTATTTTAAAATATATATTTCCTAATTATGAAGTATGATTGTTTTGATAAATTATTATAATTTATATGTTTATATTAATCTATAATAATAAAAGCATAATATACTAATTAGACCAGATGTACTTCCAGACGACCTTCCAGACAAAGCCGCGGTGGCAGGGGTGAGGCAGAAGCAGCCACCATGGCAGTGGGGGCTGAGGTCCTTGCACGAGTTTTGTTCATCAGGCTTCTAGTCCTTATAATAAAAGGCTAATATGCAAATCAACCAAATGCCAGAACAACCAATCACTATGACACACACTGACCACCAGGGGCCAAACACTCAATGCAGGAGCTGCCCCCTGGTGGTCAGTGCACTCCCACTTCCAGAAGACAGGCTCATGGCTGGTGAATGCAGCAGTGGTGGCAGCAGTTAGATATCCTTTAAGGGCTCCTGGACTACAAGAAGGCTCAGGCCTGGATGAGGGATCACCTGGAGTACACGAATTTTGTGCACTGGGCCTCTAGTATAATTATAAAACAGAAAATATAGAAACATATAGATTAAAAAAATATAGATTAACCATAACCTCAAAACCAAGGAAAAATATATATCAGTACTATTTAATTTGTCAGATTCCATGTCTTCTAAATACTGTACTTTGTTTTACACACCTGGCATATATTAGAAATATTTTTATTTATTATTTGAAAATGTTTCTAAAGATGATTTTAATGACATAGCATTCAATGATATAGAAGTATCAAATAAAATCATTCTTTTAATTCTGACCTTCAAGATGGCTCCAATTTTTTGAATACACATGAGCTATTTCACAGAAGTGGAATTATTGGATCAAAAAGTACAAATATATCTAATGTTATTGCTGCAAAAATTAGCTTTCTAAAAATCTTTGATGATTTTTTCTCATCAGCAGCTTACACTCTTTATTGTTTCATAACAGATGATTTCCTCAG